CTATCTATCTATCTATCTATCTATCTATCTATCTGAGAGAGCATGCATGAGCAGGGGGAGGGGCAGAGGGAGAGGAAGAGAGAGAATCCCAAGCAGACTCCCTACTGAGCACGGAGCCCGACGAAGGGCTCAATCCCACAACCCCGAGATCATGACCTGAGCCGAAATAAAGAGCCAGATACTTAACCAACTGAGTCACCAGGTGCCCCTCCTTTTTTTTTTTTTTTAAGATTTGTTTATTTATTTGAGAGAGAGAGCAAGCACGTGAGCTTGCTTTCTTCCTTTAAAAAAATAAAGTGAGGGGCTCCTGGGAGGCTCAGTCTTTAAGCATCTGCCTTTGGCTCAGGCCATGATCCCAGGGTCCCGGGATCAAGCCCCATGTTGGGCTCTATGCTCCATGGGGAGCCTGCTTCTCCCTCTCCCTCTGCCTGCCACTCCCCCTGCTTGTATGGGTGCACTCTCTCTCTCTCTGCCAAATAAATAAATAACATCTTTAAAAAAATAAAAATAAAAAAATAAAGTGAATTGCTCTAAATGACATCACCCTCACATCCCGTGGAATCACCTTTAGCCAACCACTTAGCTTACTTTGTTCAAAGGCAGTTATGCCAAATGTATAATTCTAAAGACCCTGGGGATCTGAGAAAGCCAAGGAAAATTTATTAACCAAGATTCCTTCTGGAAGTACACCAAAACCGGCCCACAGAAGCTCAGTAGCAAGGCAAAACACATCATCTCTCCTTTAGTTAGGTCTCACAAGAAGAAAGGTCAGTGTGCTTCTCCAGGCCTAAAGCAGGGAGGTGGCAAGGAAAGGCATGAAGGCAGAAACACCTTTCCTCTGGCCACTGACATTACTGTTCCACTTTCTACTCACTTGGGCATCCTGAATGGGCATAAACACTTTCTTCCTTCCATCATGTTGTCCAGAACCTACTTACAGGGGCACCTGGGTGGTTCAGTCATTAAGCGTCTGCCTTCAGTTCAGGTCATGATCCCAGGGTCCTGGGATCGAGCCCCGCATCGGGCTCCCTGCTCGGCGGGAAGCCTGCTTCTCCCTCTCCCACTCCCCCTGCTTGTGTTTCCTCTCTCGCCGTGTCTCTCTCTGTCAAATAAATAAAATCTTAAAAAACAAAACAAAACAAAAACCAACCCTCTTACAGGATAGAATAGAACTAGTTAAGGCTGCACTCCTACTCATTTAACACTGAAAGTCAATCAAAGGAAATTTTTAGGAAGATATTAAAAATAAGGTTTCATATAAAATGTAAAATCTGAGTAGACCAGTTAGTTGTAAGGAGACAGAATCGTCCAACAAACAGAAGTCCAGGACCAGATGGCTTCACATCATTGGTGAATTCTACTAAACATGCAAAGAAGATTTAATACCTAGCCTTCTCAAACTCTTCCAAAAAAACTGAAGAGGAGAGAATTCTTCTAAACTCATCTTCTGAGGCCAGTATTACCCTGATACCAAAACCAGACAAGGATACCATTAAAAAAAAAAAAAAAAAAAGATTATAGGCCACTATCCCTGATGGACATAAATGGAAAAATTCTCAACAAAATGTTAGCAAACCAAATTCAAAATGCGATCCAACAATTAAAAGGATCTTTCACCACAGGTGTGATTTGTTCCAGGGATGCAAGGGTGGTTCAACATCCAGAAATCAACCAATGTGATACACCACATTAGCAAAATGAATGATAAAAACTATATAATCTTCTTAATAAAAGCAGAAAAGGCATTTGACAAAATTCAACATCCACTATAAAAACTCCCAAAAAAGTGGATATAGACAGGATGTACCTCAAAATAATAAAGGCCATATATGACAAGCTCACAGCAAAGATTATATTTAGTGGTAAAGAGCCGAAAGCTTTTGGACCAGGAATGAGACAAGGATCCACACCCATGCCACTTTCATTCAACACACTAGTAGAAGTCCTAGCCATATCTATCAATTAGACAGGAAAAAGACCAAAAAAGGTATCCAAATTTAAAAAGAAGTAAAAATGTCACTATTTGAGGATGACATGATTTGACATCTGAAACCATAAAGAAGCCACTGAAAAACTGTCAGAACTACTAAACAAATCTGGTAAAGCTGTTGTAGGCTAAAAATCAATATACAAAACTTTTTGTGTCTTTATACACAAACAATGAACTATTAGAGAAATTAAGAAACCAATTCCATTTACTATTACAAGAAAAGAAATAAAATACCTAGGAATAAATTTAACCTAAGAGATGGAAGGCTTGTATACCGAAAACTATGAGACATTAATGTAAGTAATTGAAGACAGAGACAAATGGAAAAATATTCCATGCTCATTAATCAAAAGAGTTAATATTTTTAAAATGATCATATCAACCCAAAGCAATCTATAGATTCAATGTAATCCCTATCCAAAGTCCAATGGCTTTTTTTCACAAAATTAAACAATCCTAAAATCTTTATAGAGCCACAAAAGGTCCTGAATAGCCAAAGCAATGTGGAAAAAGATGAACAAATCTGGAGGCATCACACTCCCTGATTTCAAACTATATCACAAAGCTATAGTCATCAAACAAGTATGGGATTGGCATAAAAACATACATCAATGAAACAGAACAGACAGCCCAGAAATAAACCCATGCATATATGGTCAATTAATTTATTAGGAACAAAGGAACCAAGAATATAAAATTGGAAGGACAGTGTCTTTTATAAAGGGTGTTGGGGAAACTAGACAGCTATATGCAAAAGAATGAAACTGGACCACTATCTTACACCATACACAAAATGAACTGAAAATGGATTAAAGACTTCAATGTAAGACCTGAAACCTAGAAGAAAATATAAGCAGTAAAGCTCCCTGATACTGGTTTTGGTGATGATTTGTTGGATCTGACTGCAAAGGCAAGGGCAACAGAATCAAAAATAAACAAGTGGGGCTCTATCAGAGAGAAGGAAAGCATAACAAAATGAAAAAGCAATCTCCTGAACAGGAGAGGATATTTTCAAATCATGTTTCTGATAAATAGTTAATATCCAAAATATTGAAAAACTCCTACAATTCAGCAACAAAAAATAATCTCGTTAAAAATGGCCAGATGATGTGAATGAACGTTTTTTTCCTGAAGAAGACACACAGATGGCCAGCAGGTACATGAAAAGGTGCTGAATATCACTAATCATCCAGGACATGCAAATCAAAACCACAATGCTATAACACCTCATACCTGTCAGAATGGCTATTTTCAATAAAGAAATAACAAGTGTTGCTAAGGATGTGGAGAAAAGGGAACCCTCATGCACCGCAGGTGGGAATGTAAATAGGTGCAGCCACTATGGAGGTTCCTCAAAAATTAAAAGTAGAAATATCATATGATCTGATTTCACTCACCTTTGGAATTTAAGAAACAAAACAGAGGAGCATAGGGGAAGGGATGAAAAAAAAAAAAAAGAAGACGAAATCAGAGAGGGAGACAAACCATAAGAGACTCTTTTTTTAAAAAGATTTTATTTATTTGAGAGAGAGAGAGAGGGATCATGAGCGAGAATACACAAGCAAGAGAGTGGCAGAGGGAGAGGGAGAAGCAGGGGAGCCCAAACCTGGGATCATGACCTGAGCTGAAGGCAGATGCTTAACCAACTGAGCCACCCAGGCGCCCTAAGAGACTCTTAACCACTGGAAACAAACTGGGGGTTGCTGGAGGGGAGGTGGGTAGGCGGATGGGGTAACTGGGTGATGGGCAGTAAGGAGGGCACATGATATAATGAGCACTGGGTGTTATCTACAACTGATAAATCATGGAACTCTACCTCTGAAACTAATAATACTCTGTATGTTAATTAACTGAATTTAAATAAAAAATAAAAATTAAAAAAAGAAAATAAATATCGTATGATCTACCAATTTCACTTTTGGGTATTTATCAAAAAATAATAAAGACACTAATTCAAAAAGATATATGCACCCCTATGTTCACTGCAGCATTATTTATGCTTGCCAAGATAGGGAAGTAACCTAAGTGTCCACTGATGGATGAACTGATAAGGAAGATGAGCTTTATATTTATAGTGGAAAACTAGTCAGCCATAAAGAAGAACAAAGTCTTGCCATTTATAACAACATGGATGAACCTTGAGGACATTATGCTAAGCAAAATAAGTCAGAGAAAGACAAATACCATATGATTCACTTATATGTAGAATTTAGAAAACACAACAAATAGACAAAGCAAAAATCATAGATTCAAAGATAAATTGGTGGTTACCAGAGACAAGGGTGGTTGGGGATAATGGAAGGGGATCAAGAGGTATAAACTTCAGGTTATAAATAAGTCATAGGGATGTAATATAGTGTATGGTGACCACAGTCAATAATATTGTAATATATATTTAGAAGTTGCTAAGAGGGTAAATCTTAAAAGTTCTCATCACAAGAAAAGAAGTTGTGACTTTGTATGGTGACAAATGATACCCCAACTTACTGTGATTATTTTGCAATGTACACAAATGTCAAATCAATATGGTATACACCTGAAGCTAATGTTATATGTCAATTATACTTCAGTAAAAAAACAAGGTTTTAACCAGGCATCAAGATGTAACTGATGTGAGACTCCAAAGTAAAATGTTAGATCAAAATAAGCAGAACTGATGGAGGAAATATCTATGAACACACTCACTGGTTTCAAGAAGATGCCAAGGTCAAGGGAGTGGAGGAGAGGGCATTTGAAAAAAGTTATTTTTGGAGGGGGCTGCTAATTTCTAACCTCAAGCCCAAGGATAAGAGGCTTGAATGAATCTGATCTTTTTTTTTTTTTTTTTTTTGGTGAGCAGCAAAGCAAAGTTTATTGAGAGTACAAAGCTCCTGAAGAGGGAGGGGACCAGAGAGGGTTGCCAATTTGGTGTTTAAATCTAGGGGGCATTTATGGGCTCTTTGGTGTGGGCTGTTTTAATCTGATTAACCCTCCATGACAGAATCAGGTATTTGTCCTTTCGCTCATCTACCTATCAGGTAGTTGTGTAGGGCTCCTTCCAGGGTAGTGTTTTGTAGCTTCCAGGATGAAGAGGGTGGTGGCCGCCACTGCCCTAAGGCACGCCGGCCAGCCACAGGCATCCAGTCTAATCTGAGATCTTGCCATGTGTTTCCCATCACCAGGGGAAGGTGGAGGATATTGGAGGTAGATGAGAATTGCTCTCAGAATCTGCCAGGGGAAGGGTACAGATTATTTTTCAGAAATAAGACATGGGCCCAGTGGGACAGCGGGAGCTGTCCTGGGGATAGGAGAAGCCCTATCCAAGGGCACTTCCTGGGAGACAAGAGGTTTCTGTGTGGACTGGAAGTGGGGGTGAAGCACCCTGTCCAGGAATGGAATGCTTCGCCTGTTTTTGTTCATAGGAGTTGTAAGAGATGCATTGTGCTTCCAGGGCTGAGAAGCTTACAAGACTCCAGAAAATGCCTCATGAGGGAAGAAGTCAGCTGAACCATCTACTAGTCCTAGATGGCACAAAGTCACCCAGACAAGTAACAACTGTCCCACCCTCTACCACCATCACTCCCCTAAGTAGATTCTAAAACTAGAGCCAGCAGCTCGCAGATCAGAAGGTGAGAGTAGAGACCTGAAAAGAGCCTTGCTCCTCCTTCTCAAAGTAGGAAGCCACCAATAAAGACTAACTAGGGGAACAAACCCAAATATTTAATTCCGAATGAGGTTTAAAGTGTTGATAAATATCCCAGATGAGATAATTAAAATTTCCAAACTGAGCCTGTATTTGTCTCTTAAAACACCATCCTTATGCTTATAATTTTTAAACGGGCAGAAAATCCACTAGGAATTGCCCAAGTTTTCATAGGAGGGATAGAGGAAAAGAGCATCTTTAACTTGCGTTTCGAAGAAATAGTGCAGACAAAAATAAAGCTGGTGAGTTCTGTTCATTTAGGAGATCAGTTACACATGCATTCAACAAATATTTGTTGAGTGCCAAGTGCTGTGGTGGACAAATGAATACAATGGTCAACAAATCCTACAACAGGACTCCGGCCTGCAGGGAGCTCACAAGGCAGTGGGACAGGATGGGCGCTGCCTTGATATAATCTCTTCTCCAAAGCAGACTGATATTGGGATAGTTCATATCTGGATTTGAACTCCGACTGCTCCACATAGCAGCTGGAGAAAATTACCTAATTATTTTGCACTCTAGCTCTCACCTATAAAATGAAGATCAAATGATCTACCTTTAAAGACTGCCAAGAGGATTTAAGGAAAATGTACGGGAAGCACATGGCTTGTAACCCTTTAGAATCAAACAGACAAAATAACGGATATTGCTATGAAATATCCCCATCATCAAAGTTAAAATGCAAGATTTAGCAGAAAGAATTAATTCTTCCTAAGTAACTTGTGTCTCACTACTCATCTTTCTTATACTCTATAAAACTTCCCACTTGACCGACTGTGATATTTTTTATTTTTGGAACTTTTATTGTACAATCAGTACCATATAATCTAGGATTTAATCATCTCATTTCCTATGCTTTAATTGTCTTCTTGCATGAAGTCTTATCTCCCAAATTATACTGTAAGAGCTCACTGAAGACAGGGGCAGGCAATAACATTTTGGAATATTTGCTAAAATATTTTAGATCTTCAACAAACAGGATAGAAAGGACTTAAGTTTTGAAATTTGTCAATGTGCGAAAATGCAGGCTCTTTTGAGTCTCACTGTAAGCACAAACACAAACAAGGCAGTCTTTGTAATCTCCTCTTAAACTGGAAAACACTCTCATGGCCAAAGGAGAAACACTTCTTGATACTCGAAAAATACCCTCTGACTGATGAGAAACTTCTTTCGGGTTCCATACACCACAAAGACAGGTAGGGAGAGAACACACTTTTTCAAAGAATTCTTCAAGTTGAATTTCAACATGGAATCTTAGTGAGTCTGCCGATGGCATTTTGAAAAGAATTTCATTAAATGTTGCTAACATGTCATAAGCTCCCTTAAATGGAAGGGTAATGGCTCATAACATTTGTAAGCTTTTTAATTTCATGGCATATGAGCAGCATAATCAGGACCTATTAAAGTCAATCAACTGTGCCAAGTGGGGCTACCTACCTTTGCTTTTGTTTCTATTTTTCCTTGTGGGTACACCCCGTGAACCAGGAGGCAACAGCTCCGGTATCATTCTTTAAGGCTAACATTGGTGTGTAATATTCTGAACAAGCCCTGATGAAACCATCACAGCCGCATTTGCACGTATAGGTTGGACAGACACCTCTTGGGAAATGGCTTTTGGCTTCTCGGAAAGAGAGATTTCCCTTTCCATTTGCTACAGCTCAGAGGGTGCAATTTTGGTAGGATTCAAAACCAGTCATCTGACCAATGTAAGTGGAATTAATAAATGGAGATGAATATAAGGAACTTATTTATATTTTCAATGACACAGTGGTGCCCAAACTACCAATCCTTTAAGACCTGTCTCCGGGTTTTCTTATACCATGAAGCTTTTAATTATAATAGTGCCTATCTACAGGGGCTAAGTGCCAGGCACTACTCTGGGCACCCTGTTTGTCTTCTCATTTAATTTTCAAGGCAACTGTATGATACGATAGTTACTCCATATTATGGAGAGAGAAACTGAAGTTTGAGACATCAAGTAATATGGCCCAAGTTACAAAGTAGTGAGTAGCAGAGCCAGGCTTCAAACCCAGTTTTAGTCTGACTCTAAATCACATGCAGTTTGTTACTATGCTATGTTGCCTTCACAATCACCCTGTTTCAAGTCTTCCAATGGGATGGAGATATCCAGAGAGAGTATTTCCACATAGGGACTAGAGGAGACTAGGGAGGGTGAAAATCCAGGATGGCTGGAGGCTACAGAACCAAATAGGGAGAACTTACCCCACCACCGTCAAGGGAGCATGTATACATTAAAGTTGGAGAAGTAGAACTGAGTGTAAGGAATCAGCTTAGGGCAAGGCTACAACAGAAGGATGATTTAGAAGTGAGGAAGGCCAAGAGTAGGTTCAGGATTGTAGTATAGGATGGGCCAGGGTGAGCAGTGCAAGAGTAAGACTGAACACAGAGAAAGGTTAGATACACCAAGGCTTTGAACACATAGGGAAGTCAGAGTTCCATGTGTATACACTGTTCGTGTAGTGCGGGGAACACCAGATTGCCGGATGGTGGGGGGTAGGACCAGACAAGTTCATCATGTGAACTTTGACTGTAAAAAACAAAACAAAACAAAAAACCAAAAAACCCAGAATGATGGACATGTAGATGGTGTCCAAATACAGTGTCTGTATTTAATTACAAATCATACAAATGGTCAGGGAGACATTCAGTTATTCTCTAGGCTGTCATTAATGAATACTGGACCAAGAAAAATATATAAATTAAAATATATAAATTAAAAGCGTTACACTAACTGCCATGCACACCCACCATAATACGTGAAGGAGATGAAATAAAATTGTTCATCTTACGAGAAGAAGAAAATTTTGTCCACAAACACTTATGACGCTGTAGGAGTACTATTGCAAATATGTCAGTTTGGGATGATAAGAAATGAAGAGACAGTTCAAGGTAGTGCGATCTTGTACTTATTCTATTTGAAGAACTTGCGAGAGAAGTTGAATTTAGAATGAAGATGACAGAATCCTTTCTCCAAAGGGGTTCCCAGAAGTAATTAAGTCCTCATGCCCTAAGACATCCATTATATATAATAAATGAACTTATCTCCTATGAATCTAGGATGCTATAGGCTATTTGAAGAATTGGAAGAATTGATAAAACAGTCACTCATATTTTCTGTGTTCTGTAGTTTCAGATAAGGAACCAGAGTTAAGAAAGGCCAGATCTTAGGAAATTTGGAATTTCTATATATCTTTGTAACTTTATATTTGTTTCATTTTGATGGGTTCAGAATGAGAAACCAGTAACTTGTAGTTTAAGATTCCGGACAAAATCAGAGCCATAGAACTTAAGATATTTGGACATCACGGGCATTGTCCCAGAGTCGGAGCTAATCAATTAGCACATGGGTCCTCGGTTATTTCTAAATAGATACTGTAATCCCATTCTAACAGAAGGCATGGCCAGAGAAAAGTAATGGTGTAGTAGGAGACTGGTGGTTTGAATGGGAAAAAAACAATGGCCTCCAAAGGAAGCTATGATTGTATGATGCAGACCTACAGAACAGAGGTCAAGTGCAGGGGTCTAAGGAATGTCCGGAGAAACAGCAATTGACAGCAAAAGGAAAAGAAGATGCTCTCCTTTTCATGAAACTGACAAAGGTCCTGCATGTTTTTAAGGGTTGCAGGGAAAGAAGGTCAGGTAAACAGCATAGGGCAACATCTAAGTACTGCTTACTATCCCAAGGTAATATGCATCACAGTTGAGAATATGGGTGTTCACGACAACATGGGTTGGAACGTTAGGGGTGTGTTTTCTCTTGACCCTTGTAGTTGCTCATCTCTAAAGAGAAGATCAGAATGATAGATTCCTTCCAAGGTTATTTTAAAGGACACATGAGAAAATTTTACATTAGAACTATGGCTATTAGCTTTTACAACATGAGGCCCTAATCACATACTATTTATATTCAAATTCAACACACATTTATGAGCAATTACTCTGGGCAGGGATCTGTGCTAGGTGATTTTGCACCTATTAGTTCACTTAATCTCCAGAACAGTAGATCTTTTAATGTGTATTAAAGTTATAGATATTCAATATTAAAAGAATGCAGCAAAGCCCCGCGGGCACTCAGCAAGGTTTTAAAATTTTCTAACCACTCCCCATCTCCTGGTAGCAATCTGTTAGGACCTGGACAGAACAGTCCAGGCATCTGCAGAGTCTTTTACTGCTCCAATCAGCCTAACCTCAGTGGTTTTCCTGGCCTTAAGTTTACTGTACAAGGTTGGACACACAAAGCCATGGAAACTACACTCTGCAGTGATGTAAGGCCATTTCAGGGGTGATTTTTAAATAGATGCACTTTCTGCCATATGAGCCAACTTCAAAAATCAAAACCACGTAACTTTGCCAGAGAAGCAACATTGCTGGATCCCACATGATCATGAGCCCTGTGGCCGGCTGTGGTGGTAGGAACCCTGAGAGCAAGAGTTTCCACTACCTTCACCCACAGAGAGCGGGCAATTGTCTTGCACAAACCACAACTGTGCTTCCTCTGGCCATC